TGACAAAGTTAGAAAAAATGAAATATGTAAGAAATGGAATGGATAAAGTATTAAAATCAACGGGAAAATAAAAAATAAATCTGGAACGAATTAAGAAACATCGAGCGAGATGTATCAAAGCTCATGTACAGTTTTGGTGCCAAAAAGAATAATGGTATGAAACGTGTTGAATTTAGTCTCGTTTTGTTCTCCCGATTTAAAGGACTTGTTTGCGAGATCATTCAATATGTTATCTCAATATGATTTACAGTGAATTTCAGTGTAAGTATGCTCTTAAATTTTTCTTACAAGCAAACAAAAGAGTAATATGCCCTTTTCTCCCTATTCCAATTTTTCGGGGGGAGGGGACGGGCGCAGAGAAGGCGGAGAGGCTCCCTTTGCCCTCCCGGGTCCACCACTGAACGAAATCATGTTATGAAATTGGGACCAAAATAGTGTGTATCATAGTGTGTATCACTAACCGGGCGCTGTCATAGCTGCGACCAACATTCGTGTCTCTGTTTCTCTTCTATTAATTTCATTTTTCTTCAAGATTTGCTCTATTTGTGATTCAAACTGGTTATCAATGTCTTTCTTATAAGTTGGAGGACCCACAGGATTCTTTTAGTGTGAAAATATAATTCTGCTATCCGTTTGTCGAAAGGAATGAAATGGAATCTGAACCTGAAGGTACGTCGAGTTATAGGCATAGTAACTTTACACGTAGATTTATATCTACCCGGTTTGACGCGGGAACTCGAACCCTAGCTTTGTTATGCAAAGTGGTTTTGCTTTGTGTGTGTTGTGTGTCATTCATTATCATGACTGAGGATCGTCACATTATGAGTTACTCCAGACTCGAACTCTATGAATTACGTAATCGCTCAGATACTAGCAAAGTTCGTTTGCCCTCTGATGTATGTGTAAACATTGATTCGCTTGGGATCTCGCGGTCGAAACCCCGACCCCGCGGTCGTCGAGCAGGATCTCACATTCGTAGACCCATTGATGTAGTTCAGCCACTCTCTAGAAAGACACGAACTTCTGGACCTCGTGGAATAAACACTTCGAATCTTATCAATACAAAGCAACTGCATCTAAAACCAACCTTACCGTCGGTACTTCTGTTTAATGCAAGATCGCTTAACAATTAAATTCAGTGATCTACAGGTAGTCATTAAATCATCTCACTGCAACTATCAACTCATTGCTGTTACTGAAACCTGGTTTTCAGTCGATAATCCTGCTTCTTCTTGTCAGCTACCGAACTTTTGTCAATTTCATCACGATCGTCAACATCGATTGGGCGGTGGAATTGCTTTGTTTGTGAGAGATGACATTAATGCTACGGAAGTGTTTTCTGATCTTGTCCCTGAGTGTCTTGAAGTTTTGTGGGTGAAACTTTGATCATCTAGTACTGTTCGCCTCCTTAATGACATCTTTGTGTGTGTGGTGTACTCGCCTCCTCGATCTCAATACCAGGAGCAATTGTTGGATCACATCATTGCTACGGTGGATACAGTGAAATCGATGTCTGATCGATCTGCTTTTATCATCATGGGTAACTTCAATGACGTTGATACCTCAACAATCACGCAGCACACTTTGATGTCTCAAGTGGTTACCAAACCTACCCGTGGTTCCCCTGATAGCAGAGACTGGTAAATATCACGTCATATTTACGTCTTGTACTACGTCTTTAAGACGACATAACACGACGTCAAAAAGACATGATTTTGCACCCGCGCACGTCGTCATGAGGACGTCATATTTTGACGTAATTTTGACGTCTTATTAGTCAAAGAAAGACGTCTTGAAGACGTCAACTTGTACCTTAGGAAGACGTCGTATGGACGTCATATTTACGTCTTACTAGTCAAAGAAAGACGTCTTTAAGACGTCAACTTGTACCATAGGAAGACGTCATATGAACGTCATATTTACGTCTTTTAGTTAAAGAAAGACGTCTTTAAGACGACATAACACGACGTCAAAAAGACATGATTTTGCACCCGCGCACGTCGTCATGAGGACGTCATATTTTGACGTGATTTTTACGTCTTATAAGTTAAAGAAAGACGTCTTTAAGACGTCAACTTGTGCCATAGAAAGACGTCGTATGGACGTCATATTTACATCTTTTGGTCAAAGAAAGACGTCTTTAAGACGTCACCTTGTACTACAGAAAGACATCGTATGGACGTCATATTTTGTCGTGATTTTAACGTCTTATTAGTCAAAGAAAGACATCTTTAAGACGTCAACGTGTACCATGGAAGACGTCGTATGGACGTCATATTTTTTCTGGTCTTATTGGTCCAAGAAAGACGTCTTTAAGACGTCAACTTTTACCCAAGAAAGACGTCCTACAGACGTCGTGTATACGTTGTATGGACATCACATTTTGACGTGATATTTACATCTTACTGGTCATTTCGATGTACCTTTTATCCTTACATGATCTTTACGTCTTTTTGTCCTCTAAATGACATCTATATGACCACCTGATGAAGGAAGAAAGTGTAAAAGTCACTTCATGAATACATTCTGAACATTCACACAGTAAAAATAGAGCAACAGATATTGCATCACATAATATATACACATGCCAGACAGAAAGTAATTTTCAAAAATTTAATGTTCATTTATATGGTATGAAAATGGATAATAAAAATATAGAATACTTATGTTTATACCTTCTTCTATCTAACTTGTCTTCTATAAATACAAAATCTTTCCATCACCATCCTGAAACTTCTTCCAAAACATGCTGTATAAATACCTAGTGTATTTCTGTCAGTCTCAGTCTCATAATTGATTTTAAGAAAGTTAACAGGCCATCACGAAGATATTTGTTTCGTTATAAATTGTGCTATTTCATTTCAAATTTAATTCAGTAACAAGAAACTATGATATATATTGGCTTAACTTATAAGTCTTGCGGTTGCGAGAAGCAGGTTAGCAGTATAGAGACTAGGTAAAGCTACACTGATACCAGCAGTTGTTTAGTAGACAAGAAAACATCAGACTGAGGAAGTTCCTCATATTCAGCAAAACAGCATAGTGGAAAGCTGGGCATTCATCAGTGCAGCTCTATTTCTTCTCCATGCTACAACACTGCTCCTCACAACCCCAATACTTTAATGCAGATAAAGACTATAACATAAAACAAAAGGTTGTTGGAAACAATTCCTGAGCATGAAAGATCAATACTTGTTACAGACAAGGGGAATATCTAAGTTTATGGCAAGAATTCAGTATAAAGTATAAAACTATGCAATCTAAATCACACACAAGAGAAAAATGGCACAAATGATAAACACATCACTTCACTGATACCTGCAGAGTTTTCTGATGATGGTTGCTTGCCCGTTGAAACCACGATGTTCACATTTGGCGATACAGCATATTGGAAAACTGTGCAGATATCAGCTCAACTGTACCTATTTTCTGTGCTAGAAACCTGCTTCTTACTGGCACATGACTTAAATACAAGAAAAGGCATTAGTGGCAACATTCATATTTTATAAATATCATCCCAAAAAAAATTGTTGCAAATACAGAAGCTGAAGTTCAAGTATAAAAATACAATTTCTATCAGATAACATTCCCGCCAGTACGAGTGGCTTTGTTGGGCAATTCCAAGGTGACTGTGCAATAATTATTCAGAAGATATTTCCAAGTTTAAGATAAAATAGCAAACATGCTGAACAAGTTTAGTACAAAGAGATACATTCTATTGCTAATGTCACAACATTCATTTGGCACGTTTGAAACTCCTGGGGGGAGTTTCACAAAATATTAATTTAACTTAAATTTTAACAGCGAATTCAATAAAGGTAAGCCATATAGTGCTCTCAAAATCACAGATACAATCCAAGAATTTTATACTTTTAACTACCAAAAAATTCTCAAACCACAAAGATATTTATGGTTTTCTTTGAAGGCGCCACTGTGTGTCACTCTTTAACACTTCATTCTCCCAATAAATTTTTGAATTTTCCCCCAACCGTTTCTCCATGAAAATAAGATATAAAACAGGCCTTTAAAAATCTAAGGTATAAGAGCCAATTCTTTTCTTTGTGATGATTTAGATTCACCTAAAATGTAATTAAATTATAATAATATAGTTGGAAGAATTAATGAATCGATCAGATCAGTTGTTCCCAATTTTTATCATCAATAATGGTCTTTTTTCACTCAAACTTTCAGATTATCTTTAAGTGTACATATAGCATTGAAGTCAATACCTTAGCACAATTGTCTCTCATCTGAACAATTTTATCAAGTCCCGTTAAGGCTCGCTCAGATATGATGCTGCAAAACAGTCAAAATCGCAGAGTTTTTTAAATGCTGACATAGAGTTCAATACGCTTTACATAGTGTATATTATTAAAAAGAGCTCACTGAATTTGCGCAGTCCAAAACATACAAAGACACGCACCGGTAGGTCCTTTGTTGCCATTCACTTTACACATAAAACCAAACTGCATCATTTTTGAAATTTGTTGGAGGTTCACGTGCCGTACCTGAACAAGTCTTAATTGCTTAATAATGGATTCGATTTGTATTGCATTTACCTCACTCAATTTTTCTCTATTACCAACTTACAATGTATATATAATTTGCAACATGTTTTAAGAACTGATATGAAGTGGATGGGGTGGGGGGAGGGGGGTGAGCATGAGACATTATGAAACAGGTCAACTTCATGAATAGTAATTACAAATATACTCAAAATACTGGAATCTTTTAGACTTTTACCCAAATCGTTATTATGTCAGTTCGTAAATCCTGTAATTCATTAAAATTGCAAGTAACACGACTGGAAATTTTAGTTCTACAGCTTATCCATTCAGGTTTGTGGCTACACCTCACCCCTCCCCCTCCCCCTCCCCAATCTCTCTCTATAAAGTATAATGAAGTGAAAAAAATAACCTTTCTCTAGCAGTAAAGCTATCGGGTGAGTGTAGATCTAATTTTGCGAAATATTCCACTTCAGCTTGGACTTATGGGTTAGCTTTTGGGTGGAATCTCCTGCATTATGCACTGTTTTCAGATCCAAGGAACATAGACGCAAGGAATTCTAATGCATGAATAAAGCAAAAAGAAAGGAATACAATTTAAGAAAAACTTTCATATATTTTAAAACTGGAACGTAAATAATTAATTCTGTCAGAAAAGAACTACTTGGTAAGATTTATCAGAAATAATTTCTTATTGCTCACAAACATAAAGTCAACACACCTTTGGGTTTTAAACATTTGTGGGCAATGCAAAACGTGATTCAGGATTTTGTTTGTTTAATTATCAATACAATTCTAGTTTCAGGGATGCCAGTTAGAATTGATCAGAGGACCTGAAAAATCACCTAGAATGAGCTAGCTTGTACACAAAAAAACCTAAACTATGGTATGAAAATAACTCCTCAGGGCCTGAATTCAGGCTATTGCCTGAAAACTGGCATTCCTGTAGTTTGCTGATGAGGGTAGAATGAAAGCTCCTTGACCTATGCTGAAGGGTAAAAAAAAACACTGTTTGAAACTCACATGATATTGTCGGTTATTGCAACATACCTGCAGGTTTTAGTGATCTAAAATTAATTGAATTATAAATATATTTGAAACTTAGGACAAATAACTGAAATAAGCCTTTCAAATGAAATGAACCATTATGTAGTGTCTAATTCGTCAGTGTCTCAGTGATCATGCACAATATGACAAATAAATGTACAGAAATAATACAAGTACATGTACACATTTACCGATAATGGCTTCACCTGTTTCAAGAGGCTGCTGATCCTTAGGGAAGTAGGGAACATCCACAAGGTTGAGAGAAAGTAGCATTTTCTGCATGGTTTCACATCAATATACTGAGGCCACAATGTGCTTTGAATCCACTTCTTTGACGAAAGATGTTAAAAAAAGATGCCTACAAATTAATGAGAAAATGAATAAAGTTAAAACAAAGTGAAAGGTTGACAATGTATGCATGTGCAACACAAATACTACAAGCTTCTTTGAACAGCCTGTGGGGAAAGAATTTTGTTTACCATTTACAGGTCTAACCGATTATTTCCAGATAAGATTTCTGTATACGGTAGCCTATAAGCTAAATTTGCTGTCTAAAGACTGTAGAAACAAATTGTTTAAGGTTACATGTTTGTGACACAAGTCACTGCTTTATTCCTCTACGTATCGACACGCAATGTTCAATTTTCAAACATCTGGGCCTGGGCCGGTACTATAGTACACTTTCTCACAGGTTTCACTGTAAACCGCTGCACATTACAAGTGCATACCGATGGTGGTTGCGGGCGGATGCACGCCTGTGTGAAGTTATCTACCGTACAATGAGGAGGTAGATCACTTCACGCAGACTTACGTGCCCCCGCAACCCTCCATCTGTATGCACTTGTATTGTGCAGCGGTTTGCCGTGCAACCTGTCAGAAAGTGTATACTACAATCAACGTTTTTCCCGAAAAATACTCCCCCCAAAATAAGAAAAATTGACCAGAAACAGGTTAGAAACATAACAACTTTTAAATCATGACCGGCATTATTTGAACATTTCATGAATATTTGCTTGATTTGGGGTAGGCCGATCTAGACCTATGTTTTAGATTAAATTTTAGGACTCTCACCGGCCACGCCATGGGTCACTGGTCAAAAAGTCTGGATATGATTCTGAACTAGTAGTAGATCTACAGTATTGCTTGGAATAAAGTAGACACTCTCACACTGTGTCATGCGTGACTGCATGATGTATTATCCATCTTAGGTGTGACTTAGCAGTAGACCTAGTGCCAAAACTTTCATCAGTTTGCTTCTCTTATTTTTCTGCTTTCTTTCAGTTTTAGAGCAGTTGTATATTCGAGTTAGATTTCCCTTTAAAGCCATGCAGCCCATGTGTAGGCAAATGAGTAAACTTTTTTGCTTTAAATGATGCCCCATGCCATGCATCCCATCAATCAAGACCCTACATAAAAATACATATATGGGATCATACATTTCGAATCTAGTCAGCAAATGTTGAAAGTCCGAGCTCACTATCACTGACAAGTGACATAAGATCATGCATTACAGTAACATAGAGTCTAACTTACATATCAACTTTTCAGAATAAAAAACAGTAACTATAGATTTATGTACTTTTCGTAAATAAATAAGGTAATTCTAGGACTTACCCATACTGTAAATTTGCAGGAGAAAACGAGAGTATTCAGGAGTATGGTACTTCTTGCAACGGCTTTTTCACTCTGAATTCAAATACATTACATACACATCGTATAGTGCAATGCAATGCATTGTAGTCCTACGCATTGCCTTGAGTGCTGAATGTACCTGTACACACACGTACGTACACATTCCCGTTTGAAATAGCAAACTAGATGCGAGCATGTATAGTCTTGATCGATATTGCAGACCTTGGTGTGAAATTGGTCCACTATTAATGACTAATGACATTTGAGGGGGGGGGGGGGGGTTCCCTATTTTTAATTCTGCTAATTGCCCTATTTACTTTGACTTATGCTCATATTAGATGTTGTAGTCTTAACCCAATTATTATCTTGAAAAAAAAGTTATTAGAGACGTCACAATGACGTCGTTATAAGTCGTCCTTACGACAATAAAATATCTTGGAAAAATAGTCTTTAAAAGAGGTCATAATGACGTCGTAATGACATTGTCAATACGACAAAAAATATATTGGAAAAAATAGTCTTTTAAAGACGTCGTAATGACGTCGTCGATACGACAACAATTATCTTGGAATAAATAGTCTTTAAAAGAAGTCATAATGACGTCGTAATGACGTCGTCAATACGACAACAAATAGCTTGGAAAAAATAGTATTTTAAAGACGTCATGATGACGTCGTTATCACGTCGTCAATACGACAACATTACATTGGAAACAAAATAGTCTTTTAAAGACGTCATAATGACGTCGTCGATACGACAAAAATTAGCTTGGAAAAAATAGTCTTTTAAAGACGTCATAATGACGTCGTTATCACGTCGTCAATACGACGACATTACATTGAAAAAATTAGTCTTTTAAAGACGTCATAATGACGTCGTCGATACGACAAAAATTAGCTTGGAAAAAATAGTCTTTTAAAGACGTCATAATGATGTCGTTATCACGTCGTCAATACGACGACATTACATTGAAAACATTAGTCTTTTAAAGACGTCATAATGACGTCGTCGATACGACAACAATTAGCTTGGAAAAAAATAGTCTTTTAAAGACGTCATAATGACGTCGTTATCACGTCGTCAATACGACAAAAATTAGCTTGGAAAAAAAAGTCTTTTAAAGACGAGAAAATGACGTCTTTATGACGTCGTTAATACGACAAAAATTATCTTGGAAAAAAAAGTCTTTTAAAGACGTCATAATGACGTCATTATCACGTCGTCAATATGACAAAAATTAGCTTGGAAAAAATAGTCTTTTAAAGACGTCAAAATGACGTCTTTATGACGTCGTTAATACGACAAAAATTATCTTGGAAAAAATAGTCTTATAAAGACGTCATAATGACGTCGTAATTACGTCGTCCATACGACGTACGACGTGTTTACCACTTTACGACCAATTTATGACGTCTTTAAGACGTCAGTCTGCTATCAGGGTCCTCACTTCTTGACAAGACTCAAAACTGATCTCGCGGATCATTATGAGGAACCAGTTATATCAGCTCCGATTTCTACAAGTGATCATGCGATGGTCGCTTTCAGTTCCAGATGTGCCATTTCTCCTCGGTCTGCATCACGTGTTTCCTTTCGACCGTTTAGAGACTCCGCTTTACGCGCTTTCGACCAGTGGATAACTCGGACTGATTGGTCTTGCGTCACCGATTGTGCTGATGCTAATTCGATGGCTGAGCAATTGCAACGACTACTGACCCCTCAACATGAACTTTTCTTTGAACTTGTCACGACTAAGCGTCGTCCAAGCGACAAAACTTGGATTACGAACAATCTCCGCAGATTAATTTTGCGACGTGACAAGGCGTTCAAGACTAACTGCGTCTCCTATAAACGATTACGGAACGCCGTCCAAAGGGAGATCAAAGTTGCCAAGAAGTCTTTCTACGAACGGAAAACTGCCCATCTAAGAAACGCTGAACCAGGCAAATGGCATCAGCAAATTCGACACATGGCTGGCCTTCGTAAGCAATCACTGCGTCTCCCTGAAGACGAAGTCTACTGTAGAAATTGCCCACGAACTGAATCAACATTTCGCCCAGATTTGCACTACACTTCCCCCTTTGAACACACATCAACTTCCTGCTTATCTGCCAGCTGCTTCTTGCCCGCCAATCATCGACCGTCGATCGGCAGGTATTTGAGCGGCTTCGTCAGTTGAATGTGTCGAAGGCATGTCATCCTAGGGATCTACCGCCTCGGTTGATTAAGGAGTTCGCTTATGAGATTTCAGAACCCCTTACAGTTCTTTTCAACTTATGTCTGAGATCTGGATGCTTTCTTGATGCCTGGCAAGATTCTTCTGTCTGTCCTATTCCAAAGGGCAGTCGTGTTACCGGATATGACCAATTACGACCAATATCCATCACACCCATTCTGGATCGTCTCTTCGAGGGATTTCTTGCTGACTGGGTAATGGAGGACATTAAGCCCCTTGTGGATTCTCACCAATTTGGAAACATGAAGGGTTCTTCGGTCGATCACTACCTTGTTGGAATGCTTGACCATATTCACAAAGGCCTTGACCGGCCAGGCTTTGTCGCCAATGTCTGTGCCATCGACTTTTGTAAAGCTTTCGACAAGATCAATCACACTATTGCCATCAAGAAAATGATCAATCTCGGTGTTGATAGGTCCATTCTGCCAACCATCTGCAGTTTTCTTTCGCGGAGAACGCAGTCTGTTCGCTTCCAGGGTGTATCGTCTGAATCCCGACAGCTCTCTTGCGGTGTTCCACAAGGGACGAAACTTGGCCCTATCACATTCCTTGTAATGATCAACGATGCTGCTAAAAATTGTGACTACTGGAAGTATGTCGATGATTTGTCACTTGTGGAAGTTGTTCATCACTCGCGGCCATCAGAAATGCAGTCGAATCTCGATTCCTTAAGTCGCTGGTGTGATGACAACGATATGGCTCCTAAACCGGAAAAGTGTCAAGTGTTGCAAGTCTCTTTTTTTCGTCATGCTCCTCCCCTGTTCATTTGTCCATTCGTGATGTACCCTTGCAATCCTGCTCATCTTTTAAACTTCTTGGTGTTATCGTTCAGGATGATCTAAAATGGAAAGAGCAGGTGAAACGCATGGTTGGAAATGCATCACGTCGCCTCTTCATTCTATGTAAACTCAAGAAGTTTGGTGTCAAACCGGAGGATCTCGTGTTCATATACTCTGTGTACATACGACCAATACTAGAGTATGCAGTACCTGTTTGGGGAACAAGTTTAACCCTGCGCCAGTCTGCTGAAATTGAACGAGTACAGAAGAGAGCTCTTCGCATGATTTGTTACCCGACTGACTCTCACTATGATGACCTTCTTCACCAATTTGACATTTCATCTCTTGATAGCCGACGTGTTGAGATCCTCACGCGATTTGCGAAATCACTTCTGGGTTCTCAAAGACACCGCCATGTCTTGCCACAACCGCGCCATGTGAATACTTGCCGCAGTTTAAGAAACTCCGATCATTTGTCCCTTCCACGTTGCAGAACCCAGCGTTACAAACAATCGGCAGTTCCCTCTCTTGTTCGTTTGCTAAATTCGATCAACTGAAATCTTGTTAGATCTGTTTTATGTATTGTCATTTTTCGAACTCTCTCCCTCTCTCCGTCTCTCTCTCTCTCTCTCTCTCTTCCTCCCTTTCTCTAGCTCTTTCTCTCTCCTTCTCCTTTCCCTCCTCCCCTCTCCCACTGTTTCTCTATTTCTGTCTTGTATTTCCTCTTCTCAATTTTCTGACAATGTGATAATTACTCATTAATAATGTTCACCAACATGTATAGGTCATTGACATTCACCAATTTTAAACAGTATAATAACAATTCCATAATGGCATTCTTAGTCATGTAGCATTTGACATTTCCGTATTATGTGCATTTTACTTTTACAATACTTCATTAAGCTGAATCAACTCAATTCTCGTTCAATTGCTTACATTTTGTTTTTGTCATGAATTGAACTCTCTTTTTTCTCGTTATCCTTTCCCTCTCCCTCTCTTCCACTTTTCACTCTTTATTTCTTCTTTCTTCTCTCCTTCTCCTTTCCCTCCTCCCCTCTCCCACTGTTTCTCTATTTCTGTCTGTATTTCCTCTTCTCAATTTTCTGACAATGTGATAATTACTCATCAATAATGTTCACCAATATGTATAGGTCGTTGACATTCACCAATTTTAAACAGTATAATAACAATTCCATAATGGCATTCGTATTAATGTATCATTTGACATTTCCGTATCAACCGGGCATGGTGGCTCAGTCGTTTGAGCGCCCGCCTCATGAACGGGAGGTCGTGGGTTCGAACCCCGGCCGAGTCATACCAAAGACTTATAACAATGGGACCTTCTGCCTTCTAGCTAGGCGCTCAGCATATTAGATTGAAGAAGGGTAGTAATAACATATTATGTTATGCAGGGCCCGCTGGAAGAACAGTTTCATAACTGAAGTGGCTACCCTGGGTAAATAAAAGTTATTATTATTATTATTATTATTATTATTATTATTATTATGTGCATTTTACTTTTACAATGCTTCATTAAGCTGAATCAACTCAATTCTCGTTCATTTGCTTACATTTTTTGTCATGAATTGAACTCTTTTTTCTCTCGTTATCCTTTCCCTCTCCCTCTCTTCCACTTTTCACTCTTCATTTCTTCTCTCTTCTCAATTCACTGACAAACTGATTATCACCATTTTATAACTTACAATCTTTTTTTTTCTTCTTCATACTTTAAGTTATTACTGAATTTTTAATTCAACTGTTTTTAATGCATTTTTATATGATACAATGTGAGCAATGTAATTTAACTTATTACTGAATTTTTAAATCTACTGTTTTTAATGCATTTTTATATGATACATTGTAAGCCAATTATTGTTAGTCTTTGGACTTTCTATTTGGTATATTTGTAATAAAACCGAAATTGAATTGAATTTGAATTGAATTGAATTGAATAGTTAAAGCACATATTTTATTGAAGCACCCCTTTACCCCGATCATGTCCGATATAAGCGCTATAAATGAACCTTATCCCAATCATTTTTAAAAGAGTTTCCCGTCTATTTCAGGACTTAATAAAGAATCAATTTCATACTATTTTTCATTCAATTTCGTCCCGAAACTCATAATCTTGCACATTTTATAGCCATCGTCTTTGGTTCTTCGTTCATTTTCGAACTTTGGCCAATCAATTTCATCATTCACATCCTATTTCATCAAAAGCAAATCAAGTTCGTCATCCTCGGCTGCCA